TTTCGCTTTTTTCCATTTCGCTTTTTTCCATTTCGCTTTCTTCCATTTCGCTTTCTTCCATTTCGCTTTTTTCCATTTCGCTTTCGCATTTGTGAGCATTGTAACGGTAATTTTGGCTCACCCTGTACAAAATTTGTAATTTTTGTCAACGGCTCACAAGATTCAAACCCAAACATGAGTAGATTGCACTCAGCTAACTCAACTACTTTAGGTTTCATGAACGGCGCCGCTCTGTTCACCCCATCACAAGCGTTTCAATCAACACCCGGAGTGAATCCCGGATACCCGACGCAAATAATCGTCACAACAACCGGCCTCAGTCAACCGGATTACGGTAAGATGTTGGCCATTTCACAGAGCCATATAAATTGTCGGAATCTACAGGGTGAGTGTAAATTATTGACCGCCCCTATAAGCCTTTTAATTTTCTTTTCAATAAAAAAATCCGATACTCTAGAGATATATCCGATACATATCTGGTTGTTCTTTGAGCATCTTTAGATGAGAGTAAGATGTAGATAATATAGGGCCAGATAAATTGTAAAACATTTTTAACATTCATTTTATTTATTTTATTAACGTTTTATTATTACCGTATTTTCTCTAATAGTAGTGCACCCTGAGCGTCGACTAAATTCCTCGAGATCTCGAGAACCGCTTATCAGAACCTATCGATGTGGGGTCGGAAAATGTAGCTGACGATGAGATCTAGTGGGGGATTTGAGTGTTGAGCGTCGGCAAAAGCTTGGAAACCGTAAAATAGTCAGCAACTCGGCTCGTCGGGATGCACTACTATTAGAGAAAATACGGTATATTTTTCATTTTAACAAAGATTTTGAAAGTCGTCAGTACCGTTGGATCGGTAAGATCTGGCTAGCAATTGTTTTCATAGATTTACGTTTAGTACTTGCACTTTTGCTGTCTAGAAGCTAGGCGCAAGTGCATTTTCCTTGGCACACTTTACAGCTACACATTATTGCTATTAACACTTAGTGAAGTTTAGCAGCTAGGCCCAGTTAACCGATTTTATTATACAACAAGAACTTCAGCGATGTCCGCCACTTCAATGCCACCAAAAGTTGATTGAAACTTATCGGTATTCTTATTTTCTACCAATTTTAAATTTCTTATTATCAATATTTTTATTTTACATCTGCCATAAGCATTTTGATATTTATTATGAGTTATTTTTAAGCAACTATCTAGGTCATGATTACGTTTGACTGAAAATTGACTTTATTTTCTTTTTTTGTTAATCTGTGATTTCAAAAAGTTAGCCTAAATTCCCAATTTGCCTCTTCTAAGAACGTCAAAGAGAAAACGTTTTCCACCTGTCTTGAGAATGTTTTAAAACTTCTAAAGTCTCAAAAAATTTGTCAATAAAATTTCTTGAACAATCCAATGCTCAACTATGCTTTATGTTTGCTGTTATCAATTCTGATAGGTCAGTGAAAGAATCCAGTGTTTTATTTGAACTGAGATTTTAGAAACCTCATCCGCCGTCAATTGTAACATCAATCAATTCAAATGCACGACTGGAAATCAATGCATTTCGTCGAATTGGCGATGTGATGGTGATAATGATTGCAATGATCGATCGGATGAGGTGAAGCAATAAAGCTACAATAATCTATCTAGGAAAAGCTTTTCTCGTAAGCACCGTTTTTTAAAAGGATCTGGAAAAAGCTAGCGTAACCTGAGGTTTTATAATAAGATTAAACAGTAAGGCTACAGTAATCTGTCTAAGAAAAACATTTTTCTAACAATAAGTAAGCCATTTTCTAATAGTTTCTCCTCGCAAAAAGCTACCGTACTTTGAAAGCTACTGTTTCTCTTCAGCAAACCGTTTTCTAGCAAACCCATCTTCGTGTCAATAGATAAAATCTACTCTATATAAAGCAGAAGAGACATCTATCCGTCTGTCCGTCTGTACGCACCCATTGGCAAGAAGCGGCGGGGCTTAGATTGCGCGGAAAACGTGGACCTCCGCAGTGGAAAACGCGAACGTTAGTGAGCGTTTTCCAAAAAAAAATAGATGTCAATAGATAGAGCACAAAAAGTTTGGTATATGGCCAAATTTTCAGAGAAATTGATTCAGCCAATTTCGTCTTAGGGAATTTTATAGATTTTTTGACGAAAAACACGGTTTTCATGTTCGAACTTGCTTAAAAGTAAACCCAAATTGACTTTAAAAGATGGGAAATTGAACAATAAACACTTTTTATTTAGGGGAAGTCATAGGTTAATTGGTGAATTGTTTTTTTTGAACGCTCAAAAGTAAACCCAAATTTGAAGTACAGAAGTATAAGAAGGAACGAAGCAAGTCCGCGAGTGAAAACGTGTTTTTCGTAAAATCTTTCTGAACAGCTTAATAGACTGGATAAAAATCAGATACAGGAGTATTTTAAAATGCATCAAGAAGCACATTCAAACTTTAAACCCCTCATTTTATTGGCAAATTCAGCAGATATTTATAGTATTTTAGGCGGGATGCGTTTCCAGCTACAGCAGCAACTATTCGAGCTATGAGATTGGAGTGATCATTAGGAAATTGATTTGGTTGATCATCTCGGTGATCGGTCTTTGCATTGCTTGTTGCGCTCGAGCGTATCAAGTTCATCAACGCGGAGTCATGAGAGAAAACGGGCAATTGCATCAAGCGGGTGTCGTTCCGCAACCGAGAGGAGGTACAGATTGAGCATCTGAAATGTTTATTACCTTTTCAGAATTTCTTAAAGGACAATTTTTAAATAAATAGTATGGCTTTCTGATAAAATAGATTATAAATCGATTGCTTCATTATTTATTTCAAAAAGTGACCTTTAAAAAAAGCGGAAAAGACTTTCTGGTCAGCCTGAGATAACTTCACTTCAACCAAAGTAAGTCTAGGAGCTTTTGTCGATGGAGCTCAACTCTTCACACCATCACAAGCCTTTCGGTCAACTCCAGGGGTAAATCCCGGATATCCGACTCAAGCAGTTTTCCCAACCTCTGTATCACCAAATCCACCGAGTTACGGTGAGAAATTGTCTAAGAAATCAGGCTAGACTGAAACTTACAAGTAGCATAAAGATTTGCATGTTTTGCATGTTATCATTTGCATGTTATCCATCGAAAGTGTAAGTGTTAAATACTCTGACGAGTGAGTCCAAATCAAAAAATTTAGCAGAGAGTATCTTCAGCTCACTAATTAGGCTTGTAATTGGGCAATTTACATATTTACAGGGTGGTCCACAAAAAAGTGGCTCACTTTGCGAGCCTCACAGCCTGAAGATTTCTTTGCGCTGAGTTTTGATGGCACGTCGCACATCGGCGCGAAATAAGGCAAAAATGCGTTTTCTATCGGATTTTTCCGGGAGTACCTTTTTTAGATGCGGAAAATTGTGCTGATTCCGAATCTGAAGGAATTTTTCAAATCCCTTTGACAGCAATTTTTAAAATTGAGTTTTAGCGGTTTTTTGGTCATTTTGTATGGGGAATTTTGTGGTACCCTGCAGTTTGGGGCGCGTAACTCGACAATCAGGGTCTAGAACAAAAAACGAGGGGATAATTTTTATTCTAGAGACTCTCACGAACATTTTGATACAAAAATCATCAAATTTGCTCAACTCTACAAAAAGTTATAAGATCTTTATAACACTCCCGGAAAAATCCGATAGAAAACGCATTTTCGCGCCGATGTGCGTCGTGATGTCATATATTTCAAATTGCCCAATTGCAATAGAGAGCAATAGTGAGTTAATCGTGTGCAAGATCAACTGAATCAATTGATGACTCTAATCAATAATCAATTGATGATTCTAATCAATAATCAATTACTAATTGATAAATAATCTCACTTCCCTAGAGCTACTGAAACAAGAACATTTTAATCATTTCATTCGTTCAAATTCAATGATATTAATTGATCAACTGAATCATTAATTTGAACGAATGAATGAAATGGTTGAAATGTTCTTGGTTCAGTAGCTCTAGTGGACTTTGATTATGTAAATCTTCAACATATATTAGGTTGATGCAAAAGTCTTTTTCATTTTTTTCGTCTGCCGTTTCAAGCCAACAAATGCACCAATTAAACTACGGTTGATTTCATTAGAAAAACCAATTATTTTTCTGCAAAATAACATTAAAACGGGTTTAAAAATATTTTATGCCTGGATTTTCTTGAGAGTATGAAGTCGGGTAGTCAAAAAGGGCTAACTCGATGATGCGGTTTAGACACCTTAGCTAAAGAAAACCTATCTTCGTGTCAATAGATAAAAGATAGAGAAAAAAAAGTTTGATATTTCGCCAAAATTTCAGAGAAATTCATTCAGCCAATTTTTCCGTAGAGTTTTTTATAGATTTTTACGAAAAAGGCGTTTTTCACTCTCGAATTTGCTTGAAAGTCAACCGAAATTCATTTAAAAAGATGCAAATTGAACAAAAAAACACTTTTTTTATAGAGCAAACTATAGATTAATTGGTGAATTTGTTACTTTTTAACAGAAGTACGAAAAAAATGAAAAAGACTTATGCATCAACCTAATATATGCAAGTTGCCCAATTGCAATAGAGAGCAATAGTGAGCTAATCGTGTGCAAGATCAACTGAATCAATTGATGACTCTAATCAATAATCAATTGCTAATTGATAAATAATCTCAGTTCACTAGAGCTATTGAACCAACTTTTCAGCTTCATTCAATCAAAAAAATTTAGCTACAGTCACGTCAATGCCTCCGAAAGTCGATTGATTCAAGGATAACTTTAGATAATCAAAAATCAAGCTTTATTCTCTAGTATTCTATTTGATTTTTGTTTCGCAGACTACACTCTTTTGTTTAATTGAATATTTTCATTTTTCTGTGATTAAATGCTCTTTTTTTACAGGTACACCATCTATTTTGGTTGCTAGTTCTTAAAATGTTTTTCATTTTCATTTTTTCATTAAACTTTATTAAACAAAAGATCACATTTGAAAAACCGTATTTGAAAATCGTAAATGAATAAACCCGTTTATAAATTGTGATCATTGAGCGTGGCCAAACGAGCGTAGATTCCTTGAGTGTTGAGAAGAGTGTCGTGGTTGCCTGAAACGATAATTTTATGATGACTAATGTTTTTTTGACTTTATATTTTACTAGATAATTTATATAGTCAAGCTCTCCTTCTTTCGACCCCCATTTGCACAACTTTTTTTTGGCTTTTTTGGCCTCTAACTCTACGACTTTTTCGCCTATTTGGAAAAAATTTATGTTTCCAAATTTATGTCCTCTGGGTTTATAGATAAATGCATTAAAAATAATAGTTTTCAAAAAGTTCAGCAGTTCTGTCTATGGATTATTACGTGCTTTTTAGGTCTACATATTTCCGCTAGTAAACATACCGAATCAGATTTTACTAAGAAATTTTTTTTAGAAAAAACAAAAGTTTCCAAAATTATGTCCGCAACTGTATCTCTCTCACTTTTTATTGCAATTATATTTTCAATAATTTATTTTTTTAGGAATCGGATCGAAGAGAGATCCGTCGATGGATTTGAAGAATTTCGAGAACGGGAAAACGATGAACGAGAAGAATTCTTCAAGAATAGGGATAATGAACAACTTGAGAGTCTACGAGGAACAGACGAGAAACACTCCAGGGAATCAAAAAAAGTGCTCAAAACTCTCCAGTTGAATTCAGCTGTTATTCCTAGAGGAACAACTAAGTTCATTCCGTGTCCTGATGTGGCCTGGAATCAGCCTTTCAAGGCTCATCTTCGGCAGTGTTTTGAAGATTAGATACTCTAGAATATCCTGACGTCTTGGATGTCAGACCTGAAGAAAGAAGGAAATTCGAAGCCTCCATCGATGGATCACTACTGCACACGTAATTGCGCGTTACCTGGCAAAGAATAAATACCGATATCCGGTCAATGTCAAACGTTTCAAAACTGCGCATGGTAAAAATTGCGAAATGAATTGCCAATTTTCTTTCGTGTTCTGAACGTCGAAGTTTGATTTCGCTGGAAACTGCAGGTAAAACTTTGAAACTTTATTTTTAACCTCTTAAAACAAAGAATTTCCGGTAGAGCAGTAAAAGTGATCATAAACTTTAGCCATAGCTGATTTTTGCGCAGACTTAAACTGACGATGCTAGTTGCAAAGCATTGTCAAGTGATTGTAGGTTTTTGCTATAAAATGACAAGTAAACTTTTTAATCTTGTGCATGAGCCAGTTCAACAAGTTAATTGTAAGAGTTGTAAGAAGTTTTTGGGCAAATCTTTCTATTGTACTTTTTATTCTTTACCTTCTTCCACCAGCTTTCCCTTCTCAAAAACGAGAATTCGGTCGCAGTTCTTGATTGAGGCTAGACGATGAGCGATTGTTATACAAGTTGTACCATGAGCAGCCAAATCAATCGATGCTTGGACAGACTAAATTTTTAAATTCAAAAACGGAATCCACCTTGCTTTGTTACCTTTTCCGTTTCCGAATCCAGCGCACTTGTCGCTTCATCGAAAATCAGAATTTTCGGTTTTCTCACCAAAGCTCTCGCAATCGCGATTCGTTGCTTTTGACCTAGACTTTGACCTAGCTTTGACCTAGACTTTGACCTAGACTTTGACCTAGCTTTGACCTAGCTTTGACTTAGACTTTGACCTGGACTTTGACCTAGCTTTGACCTAGACTTTGACCTAGACTTTGACCTAGACTTTGACTTAGACTTTGACCTGGACTTTGACCTAGCTTTGACCTAGCTTTGACCTAGACTTTGACCTAGCTTTGATCTAGACTTTGACCTAGACTTTGACCTAGCGTTGATCTAGACTTTGACCTAGCTTTGACCTAGACTTTGACCTAGCTTTGACCTAGACTTTGACCTAGACTTTGACCTAGACTTTGACCTAGACTTTGACCTAGACTTTGACCTAGCTTTGACCTAGCTTTGACCTAGACTTTGACCTAGCTTTGATCTAGACTTTGACCTAGACTTTGACCTAGACTCTTTCGAAGCAGGTGAAAATTTAAAGATCGCATCAAATTTTTGAGATTTTACGAGTTTTATATTTTACACATACCGCCAGAAAGCTGGGATCCAAGAGCGCCGACTTTTGTCTCGTAACCATCAGGCAGAGTGGTGATGAACTCGTGAATGCCCGCTACTTTAGCTACCTCGATGACAGATTTCATCGATAAAAGCTCCAGATTTAGACCGTAGCCGATATTGTTCTGAAATTAAAGTTAAATTCGATAAAATCCACACTTTGAAGCTAATTTTAAGTACTGATTAGAGCCTTTTCCTTATGCTTCTAAAAGATAGCCAACTTGTAAAGCTCGCGTAACCTTTTCTTTAAGTTTTTCTACTTTATTTGATCCCATTCAATGCACAGTTTATTCATTGTTGAACGGGTTTAAAGTTTAGTAAGTCGAATAAAATGTAATCTAATACCTAAAGTTGTTATAACATATAATGTTAAGGCTTGCCCTTTCTTCAGCTACATTCGTCTCCATGTTTTGAAATGAAAACAGCAATAGAGTGCTGGAAGCTGCGGGTGGAATAACTCTTTTACTGGGATAAGAGCACCGCGAACAAATTCATTCAAAGGTTTCAACTGTTACAGAACGATTCAGAAAGTAAATTGCAGTGATAAGCTAAATAAAAATTTTTGTAGGGCTTGTGGACGTCATCCAATTACTACTGATAGGCTTGAATAAGTTGCAAATCTTTTACCGAGTTGTTATCTACTGCAGATGTCGTAGCCAATTATGAATTTCAGCCGATTACAAATGAGTGGGTCTAGGAGCGTCCGACCATCAAGTATTTAGTATCATTCAACGCAGAATGGCAAATCTTTCTAGTCGAGCAACCCTTTAATGTATGAGGACAATTACTATATCATCTTGTAGCGAATTCAATTCTGCGTCGATTGGTACCAAATTTGTGAGTTTAGGTTAAAAATTGCCGGCGCTACAACGTTTCATTCAAAATCCGCGTAACCCCAAGAGCCGATTATGAATGAGTGGGTCTAGGAGCGTCCAACCATCAAGTATTTAGTATCATTCAACGCAGAATCATTAATAATTATGTTAAATCTTTTAAATTAGAAAGATTCGATAAAAAGAAAAAAAATTAGAGCAAAAAAACTATTTGTTCAAGAGAAAACTTTGAAGCCCGATAATTTTTTTTCTTTTTATCCAATCTTTCTAATTTAAAAAATTTAACATAATTATTAATGATTCTGCGTTGAATGATACTAAATACTTGATGGTTGGACGCTCCTAGACCCACTCATTTATAATCGGCTCTTGGGGTTACGCGGATTTTGAATGAAACGTTGTAGCGCCGGCAATTTTTAACCTAAACTCACAAATTTGGTACCAATCGACGCAGAATTTAATTCGCTACAAGATGATATAATATTGTCCTCATACATTGGGTTGCTCTACTAGAAAGATTTGCCAAAAAATTTCATTCATAATCGGCTACGACATATATAAAGGAGAAGAGACGTCTGTCCATTTGTCCGTCTGTGCGCAGCCATTGGTAAAAAGGGACTTAGATTTCGTGGAAAATGCTCACTAGCGTTCGCGTTTTCCGCTGGCTTGTTAGTTCAAACATGTAAACGCACAAAAATCGTGTCATCAAAAAGCGTTGGCTCTTGCGATACGACGGCAATTTGACTGCGCAAGTAGTGAAGGGGAACTTTGGAGATTTTCGTTCCGTCGATGAGCTAAAAAAAAAGTTCTCCAACAGTATTTAACCATTTTAGCCTTTAAAACGCACAACCGATCCATTTTTCGTGGAGTAAATGCGTTGCAACAACGCCACGATGGTGCTCTTCCCGCTGCCCGATCGGCCGACAACTCCGATTTTCTCACCGGACTCGATCGTGAAGGATACATCTAAAAAAATTGAACTAATAATAATTGAACAAATAATTGAATGTGATTTTCCTCATACTCTCAACTTTTCACTTACTTGGAGGGTGCGCCAAGAGTTCTCGTACTTGTATTTTCTGCATTTTTGGTAATTTTAGATAAAAGATACGATTTTTAAAGTAAGAAATTCGAATTCCTCACGAAAAAACTGATTTAGAAAACGTTTCTGGTTAATTTATAAGTGCAAGGCTATTTAAGACAAGTGATTGAGAAGGGGGGTCCGCTCAGGGGCGCTTTGGTCGCACATTTTTTTGGGGCTTCAGGCCTGTAACTTTTATGGATCAAAAGATTTTCCAGAGCCAAGATGTTTTTCGAAAACTAGAAATAAAATGTGACATTTTTTATATCGGGTGTATAAAGTTTTGGTCAACGACCGAGTCAGGTTAGAAAAGTCAGGTTAGAACTTGGTTTTCCCATACAAATTTCCATCAAAGGAAATAACTGTAACTGTGCGCTGTAACTGTGCGCTGTAACTGTGCGCTGTGACTGTGCGCTGTAACTGTGCGCTGTAACTGTGCGCTGTAACTGTGCGCTGTAACTGTGCGCTGTAACTGTGCGCTGTAACTGTGCGCTGTGACTGTGCGCTGTAACTGTGCGCTGTAACTGTGCGCTGTAACTGCGGACCCTCTTCTCAATCACTTGTCTTAAATAGTGTTGCACTTATAAATTAACCGGAAACGTTTTCTAAATTTCTATTCGCGAGGAATTCGAATTTCTTACTTTTAAAATCGTATCTTTTATCTGAAATTACCAAAAATGCAGAAAATACAAGTACGGGAACTTTTAGCGCACCCTGTATTGTTAATTAAAACTCACTTTTCAGCACCAACTCCTCCGGTTGCTCTGGATAGGTAAAGCTCACGTTTTTGAACTCAATTTTGCCCCAATTAAGCTAAAATTCTATTTTTTTGATGAATTTATATCAGCATTACGTTTTGATCAAGTTCGTTATCGATTTCAGGCTTTAGTTCCAACAAACGACCGATGTTTTCCAATGAAACTTGCGCTTTCGAATGGGTATCGATGTAGCCGGTGGCGCTTTTCAGATCCACCACCACGTTTGTCAACGAGAATTGGGTTCTGTAATTTGTCGATTGATGAATAGATGGTGAGTAACAATTTCCAAATCCAAACCGTAAAAGCTGTAATAGTAGCCCTCCGCCAATGGTAGCCCCCTCTAATAATATCCCCCTCCAAATTTGCATAGAAAAACTTGCACAAATTTGAACCTAAACGCACAAAAGGTGGGAACCCAAAAGCCCCTAGAATGGAAATCTACTTAAAATGAATTGCTGATGCATGGGATTCAATTTCGGAAGAAGTCATTCGTCGATTCTTCAAAAGCTGTGGTGTTAGAATCGATCCAAGTGTTGGCGACGACCAGATGGTTCACTGTTTTAAGCCCAATAGCCCGATTTCTACAGGACTACAGTTATTTAAAGATGCATGTGTCGAAAAAGAAGTTAATGAGCTCCTAGATCAGCCTACTCCAGCAAATCTTGTCGATTTTCATCAAGAAACATCTCCATCTATGAAGCAGAATTTGAATCTGATGTCTCATTGATACAGATTTTTAAATCTCTGTCTTTTTTTGTTAATTTTTGTTGAATTTTACTTGTTTTTGTAAATAAATTAATTAAAAAGTGTTTCTTGAATGAGTGGTTTTAAAGCTTATATTTTCCAGTTTTGGTCATGTGAATGGCAAAAAGTACTATCTAACAAATGATGTCCCTCCTCTACTATTGGCCTATTATAGTCCCTCTATTACAGCTTTTACGGTATCCTGTATCAAAGCCAGCCTATACCTCATCACGCTGATCGGATCGAAAGTCGAATCCCAAGCGCTGAGCCAAGAAGCGAATCCCTGTTTGAGTGAGTTGATCCACGCGTTCATCATCGCATTCACGGCGTTAATGAAAGCCTGAAGTTTTCAATTTTATAAGATTACGTTAGAGTAATCATTATAACTGCAATAGAAGCTACGTATTATTGACCACTATTTGGACGTTACATAGCCATAGCCAACTTTTTGCGTTACAGATTACGTTATTGGTAAAAGTTACTGCTCGAAAAGTGTCCAACCCTACCCTGATCTTTGCTCTCTTCTGCCCGGTCTGCACTCGTTTCTCCAATTTCTCACAATAAGTCTCCAAGAGTGGCTTTTGCAAGTTCAAACATTGTACAGTCTTAATATTAGCCAAAGCTTCGGATAACAGCTAAACGTAGAATTCGATAAAATTTGCATTTCTCAGCTCTCACTTCACTGCTATTCACATTCATCGATGACTCTTCTCTATGATATGTAAGTAAAAGTTTTCTCAACGTGATCCCATGAAAGCTGGCCATTGGGACAATGATTAGCACTGAAAATCGAATAATTTCAATGTAAATTTATTGAATTTTTAAACTCACTTAATAAAGTTGTCGGCCAGTTGAGATAAAAACCGATAAATAGACCGAGAATGGCGGCAACGCTTCCTTTGCAAAGTTCACCAAGTGGTTCACCGAAAGCCTAAAATTTACGATAACCTGGTCGTTTTATAACCTGGGTCCGATAACCTGGTCGTTCAAAATATTGTTTTAAATGCTAATTTGATAAATTTTCAATGTTTAAATCGATTTTTACTGACAATACGCATTAGCAATTGCATCTACATGGTGACCAAGAATTACCGCAACACACAAAAGGCTTTTAACGGAATTCAGAAAGAAGATCCGATCCGGGATTCGATCTAGATCCCTGGATCGAATCTGGATTCAATCTGGATCTCTAGATCAAACCCAGATTTGATCTACAGGGTGATGAAGAATTACCGCAAGACACAAAAGGTCTGGCTTTTAACGGAATTCAGAAAGAAGATCCGATCCGGGATCCGGGATTCGTTCTAGATCCCTGGATCGAATCTGGATTCAATCTGGATCTCTAGATCAAACCCAGATTTGATCTACAGGGTGACCAAGAATTACCGCAACACACAAAAGGCCTTGCTTTTAACCAAATATGCAACCCGTCTCGAAAAGTTAACCTAAATATCTTTATTCAACATATAACAGTAACAAATTAACAATTAAATTCAAATTTGCCTCCATCGGCATTCAGACGGGCCTGCAAACGTTTGGGAAACGCGTTGACCGTGGGAAATGTTTGGGAAACGAGCAAATAGGCATCATCGAGGGTATCCCATGCTTTGATCAGCGCCTTCTTCAAACTTTCGATATTTCTATGTGGTTTTGCACATGCCCTGGCTTCATGAACACTCCAGACTGATTAATCCAATGAGTTAAGATCGGGTGAGCTGGGTGACCACTCAGAAAACGAGATGAAGTCCGGGAAGGTCTTTGAACAAAACTCTTGCACTTTCTTTGCTTTTTGAGCCGGCGCACCATCTTGTTGATAAGTCCAAATTCGATTTTTGAAGTGGTAACCATAAAAGCAGGTAAGCAAAAAGTGAAATGAGGCTCATAACATAATACGACGTTGTTGCGGTAATTCTTGGTCACCCTGTAGACACCAAAGTAGTAAACTTTTATAGCTTAAAATCGACTAGCAGCCATTTCGGAGCTCAATTTTACACCAAATTCGCTGTGAATTCGGATTTAATTCTAGCTAGAATCTAATTTTAGTATTTTCTTTTTAAAGCATCATGTGATACTTTGTGTTATCTCGGGGAAATCTCAGAGAAAAATTGGCTGTGGAAGTCAATGGGAAAATAGACGTTTTATGGTTACAGATTGGATTTTTTGATTGGAGTTTTCACTTGCGTCAAGTGTGTTCCTGGAGCTCTGTAAACCGAACTCAAACTCATGCAATTCGAGAGAATTCGGGGCAATTCGGATGTACTGTTGAGATCGACAAATCACTCTTCGCAAAGCGGAAATATCATGTTGGACGAATGGTCAATGAGAAGTGGTGTTTTGGTGGAGTGTGCAGGGAATCAAATGAAAATTTTTACGTGCTCGCTTCCGAGCTGCTACTTTGATACTATCAGGTGCGACTTTGATTCTAACTATCGAGAAGTACATGACTCCTAATACCCGGATTATTTCTGATAAATGACCGGACTTATCGAAGTATCGTTTCCCACCCCGACTATCAGTTCAATTGGGTCAACCACACAAAAAACTTCGTCAATTCCGTCGATCTAATCGTCCACACACAACATATTGAGAGGATGTGGCGCCCATTCAAAAATCAAACCATCGCCTCCACGAAACACATCGAACAATGTTTTAGAGCTATATCACTGAGGAAATCTGTAAGATGAACTGTGCTGATCGTCCAGTTTTCACCGCCATTCTCGAAGATATCAAAAATTTCTTCCAAAAGATCCCTTCCATATTTGTAAATGCTTAAATAAACTTGTAAAATCGATTACAAGAAAGAACTCTAAAAGAGACAAAAACGTGAAACTGAATAAAATGAAAGAATGAAGTTCAAATTGAAAAAGTCAAAGCTAAAAGTAAAAAACAAAATCAAGTAAAATCAAATGGAAAATGAACGGAAAAGATTTTCCTCCAGCCAATTTTTTCTGAGATCCAGATAACACAAAAGTACTTATTATCCACTGTGATATCCTAAGCCTTTTGAAAACTTCAATAGCAATTCCATTGTCTCACCAGTCTAACTGCGACCGCATCTGATGCCAACAAAGCCGTCAATTTTCCCGACGAGTTCTCCGCAGCATCGTGGAATTTCCCGTTTTGATTCAAAACATTTTCGAAGATCTAAAAGTTTATTTGTTTGTTTTTGTTGAATTTTGATTACCATATTTTCTCTAATAGTAGTGCACCCCGGTGAGCCGAGTCGGTCACTATTTTACGGTTTCCAAGCTTTTGCAGAAGCTGAACACTCAAATCCCCCCACTAGATCTCATTGTCAGCTACATTTTCCGACCCCACATCGATAGGTTCTGATAAGCGGTTCTCGAGATTTCGAGGAATTTAGACGACGCTCAGGGTCCACTACTATTAGGGAAAATACGGTAGGTCAATCGGTAACTGATTAATTAATTGATGAAATTGCTTTGGATCTCATTTAGCCTACCTTCGCACGAATCTTCTCCGCCAAACGACACGAGGCAATGCTGAAGCAAACTGTCTAAAATTTGTTTTTGTTTTGTGGAGAATATTGAGTTACTTTAGCCGTTTCGAGATCTTGACACTTTGTCAAAAAAAATGTCAAAAAGAAAAGCAATCAAAAGAAAAATCAAAAGAAATCAGAATATCAATACCAATTAGTACTAATCTTATTCTATTGGATTGGTGAATTGAAAACTGCCGGCTATTGTCATATGTGACATTTTGAGCGCTTTCTTCAGAAGAAACCCATTTTGGTGTCAATGGAAAAGTTGTAGAGAATCAAAAATCAAGCTTATATCCAAATTTTCAGAACGATTCAAAAACTGGTTTTCAAGAAAAGCCAAATTTACGAATTTTTACAAAACTTGCATTTTAAGCGAAACTACTAAGTGTATCTTTTTGGAAATTTGGCTATAAGCCTAATTTTTGATTCTCTACAACTTTTCCATTGACACCAAAATGGGTTCCTTTTGAAGAAAGGCTCAAACTGGGACATCTCCAGTCCTCCATTTTTGAGTCTCACACTTGTCTCACACACAAACCAAAATCCTACCTCGAAAGAGGAATCCGCAAATTGCCTGTAAAATGGGCAGAAGTCGTCAATAATAATGGAAATTATTTCGAATGAATTGATGGTTTTATGTTGAATAAATTTTAGTTCAAAGTCCCGCAGTTTTCAATTCACCAACCCAATGAATCATCAGGGTAATTTGGGAAAAATTTCCTCAAGCATAAACACATCATAAGATGGGTAAACTCCGGGTTTTCCCCTAAAATCTTTTTCCAAACTTGCCATTGGCACTATTCTGAAACCCTCGAAGCAGCAGAGATAAATCCAATTCCAAGCTGCAGCATGTCCCTTTGCTCTCATTCGTTCCGGATCTAAGTCGACCAAACCCTGAAATTTATTTGATCAGCTTTATTTAAGAGTTGTCACTTAAAAACATAGATTCTTTAAGATTACAGAAATTTCTAGTAGTATTTTTCTTATCACATTACTTGATTCAATTTGAAAACTTTTAAAGAAAAGGTATTCAGCCTCAAAGTCGAATAAAGATTAACGCTAGAGCTAATAAAATATGATAAAAGCTATTAACAAACCATTTCTTGTTGCGCAAAGATAAGGCCATAGATCGGTGGAACGATTCCCTAAAATATGATTGAATGATAATTCAAAATTTGTCGAATAAGTGTCAAATTTCGTTATCCATTTCTTGTTGCGTGATTTCGTTATCCATTTTCATTTCATGTAAGCTCACAAAGCAAGTGCTCACCTCAGTCAATCCAAAGAAAATCGCTAAAATGAAAATGCCTTTCGTTTTTCGATCAAGCAAATTATAGAGATCCCAGAAGAAAAAAGTCGGTTTCTCTGAAATTCAATTTTTGATCAAAAGCAGCTTTCTACCAACCCGTTTCCTTAATCGATGCTCTTCTCATTTTTACATTTTCCACCGATACTTGCGTGGAATAGATTTGATCTTTTGTTGGAAAAGTCCCTGCTTTGGGAGAAGCTTCTAAATGCAAAAAGGTTTGTGTCTTGTAAAAATGGGAAACCTTTCTTCGGTCGATTGAAGAGTTGCGCATTGACAAGGTCATAGTAATGACCTTTCTCTGCGAGAAGACTTTGATGAGTGCCGGCTTCGATTGCTAAATGAAGTAATGATTATCAAAAGCGTAGCAAAATTTTAAGCCGACCTGAAGTTATAAAGTTACCGTGTAAAATTTAAATAATTTGTTGTTGAATTAAGAAAATTCGTAAATAAATCGTTGATGAGTTTATTTGTTTTAAAAAACTAAATCCTTTTTTAAGAGTCTATATAAAAAAGCTACTTTTCGATTAGATCATTTACAATTTTGAAAAGTAAAAAAGTATCATTTGGGTGAATCCATTTGCCCTTAGCAAGAGATTTGCCCCTTGATTCTAGCAAGGGTTGTGTTTTAAAAGCAAAAACTAAACTTCGATTAGGTTTTGTACCGATTTATTGGTTTCGTACGATACGATGTACGATTTCGGTTACTGGTTCGGTTAAACGTTGCTCAAAAGTGGTCCATCTACCCACAATTATAGCGCCGCACTTCAGAAGGTCTAGTTTGGCCAAAATTGGGTCAATCGTCCTGATTTTTCTGGAGGTGAATCTTGAGTATGTCTCTTAAAACGGTGCCCATTATCTAATCGATTCAAGCTTTCAACTTTCTTATATAGTCTTCCAAAGTTGAGAGTCGATCGTAGCCGAGCGACACTTGTCTCTCAACTTTAGAAAGCTATATAAAAAAGTTGAAAGCTTGAATTGATTAGATAATGAGCACCGTTTCAAAAGACATACTCAAGATTCACCTCCAGAAAAAATCAGGACGATTGACCCAATTTTGGCCAAACTAGACCTTCTGAAGTGCGGCGCTGTGGGCCACTCTGTACAGTGGGACTACAGAGACTACAATAAGACTTTCACTATCTTTTCTTAAAAAGTTTATGGTAAAATCGTTACATCATGCAATCGTTGCCGGCTCGTTTACAATTGAGCACCACGTTCTGATTTTTCTTAAGTAAATCTTAAGTCTGTCTCCTGGAACGGTTATCTAATCGATTCAAGCTTTCAACTTTTTTATGCGATCTTCCAAAGTAGAGAACTGAGTTTCGCTGGCACTATGGGTTTGTGAAAGTTTCATTCTTTGATAAGTCTTTAAGAATTTCATGATTTTTAAGTAATCATATTTATTTATGCAATTTAAAAGCTATAAACCTTGAAAAATAAGTTTTTTTTTTGCCCTTTACTGGTTTCTCTGAATGCCCCACAAATCGTTCAGGCGAAAACAGAACATATTAAGTTTTGGTGATATTTCTCAAGAGTTTTCGCATTTAAACTGCGTAAAGCATGTGAAATTTCGTTTATTAACATGATAAATTCAAACTCAAAGAGATTTTAACAAGCCTCGCTCCCAAAAATTCCATAAATGAGTAGAGCGCTCTAGCGACTCAGCTCTCAACTTTGGAAGGCTACATAAAAAAGTTGAAAGGTTGAATAGATTAGATAATGGGCACCGTTTTAAGAGACATACTCAAGATTCACCTCCAGAAAAATCAGGACGATTGGCCCAATTTTGGTCAAGCTAGGTCTTCTGAAGAGCGGCGCTATAATTCTGGGCCACCCTGCATCCAAAAAGAACAGAAAAGAGATAAAATTGTTAATCAAATCTTCGGATAACGCTAGATTGGCGAATAAACAGTATTCAGTAATGTGAATTAACTTTTGACACTATTAGTTTGTTGTTCTTAGTTTGTTTTGCCGATTCTTTGAGAAAGACCAGTTAGATCAATCAAAAGCCTAAAACTGGATTGGTTTTGATTGGTTTTGATCGACTTTAACTCCTTAGTATCGATTGAGTTAAATATATAATTGAAATTTAAAGATTTAAAAGAAAAGCGGAAGCAAAAGTTTCCCTTGAAAAACAACTGTAACCAATGTTTTGAGTCGATTTCGAAAGGAGTTGGTGGTAAAAAAAAATTGAGAGAGAATTCCCCAAAAAGAACTTAAAAGAAAAATCGAAATTTTCCCCAGATAAACCATCAATATTTTTCCCAAAGGAGATACCCATCGAAATTTCAATTTGAAACTAAATGTAAATCCTCTGGAATTCGCTAGCATTTCATGCTACATCGATTTTCGATTCAAAAATTTCTCGTCCTTTTCGGGATCTTCTGGATCGTTGCGTATATTTATGTGGGTTTTTTTAAAGCTTAAACTATTCACCTTGTTCATGATTTAAGTGTCGTTCATGATTTAAGAAATATTCAGTCAACTGTTACCCTAAAGTCTCGAGTATAAGTTCATCCGAGTATAAGTTCTGCCTTAATTTACATTCGCTTTAATTGCTTTGAATTTCTTTTTGTTGGGTTTTTATACATTTTTATTGTTATATAAACTTTTATTATTGTTCTTGGAGCGCGGGATACTACAGGGTGACAGCCTATCACCATTGCTATTTGTTATGTGCATGGATACATCCAGACGATAGTGTTGAAGAAGACGCTGGAAAGCATCTCTTTCGACCGTCGACGTGGACTTTGGCCGGATGAAGAGGCCAGGGAGGGATCCATAAGACTGAGCACCGGAGAGGAGCAGGGCGGACGCGCCGGGCCACGCCCGGAGCAACAAATAACAGCATAAAATTGCTATAACCCTCAATAAATTTACTTCTATTATTGTTCTTAAAAAACAAAAAAGTTATGCTGCAGCGGGATTTGAACCTTCGACACACCGCACCGGAGACAGCCGTCAATTTGCATGCGAAAACCAAACAGAACTTATACTCGCGACTTTAGGGTAATAAAAAACTTTCACGTAATACAACTGTTAATAACTAAGACTCTGTAATTTTTCCTCGAACCTAGCTGGAGGATTTTACTGATCTTTACTAATCTTTACTGATCTTTACTGATCTTTACTGATCAAGCAACAAGCTGCTAAGATTCAGAAATCAGAAACTGCTGAATTGGATATCAATCAGACGTTTCGATTGATGAAAACTATCAGTCAAAGTTTTTAGTTTGTACTTTCGCAGGACAATTTCAATCTTACAAATGCCGATGATAATAGGTAGGTTGTAAAAAATCTTAAGAGATTCAATTTTCCCTATTATGATTTAATCAGTTATAACCATAATACTTTATATAAATTATTATAAATTATACAGGGTGCGCCAAGAGTTCTCGTACTTGTATTTTCTGCATTTTTGGTAATTTTAGATAAAAGATACGATTTTTAAAGTAAGAAATTCGAATTCCTCACGAAAAAACTGATTTAGAAAACGTTTCTGGTTAATTTATAAGTGCAAGGCTATTTAAGACAAGTGATTGAGAAGGGGGTCCGCTCAGGGGCGCTTTGGTCGCACATTTTTTTGGGGCTTCAGGCCTGTAACTTTTATGGATCAAAAGATTTTCCAGAGCCAAGATGTTTTTCGAAAACTAGACATAAAATGTGACATTTTTTATATTGGGTGTATAAAGTTTTGGTCAACGACCGAGTCAGGTTAGAACTTGGTTTTCCCATACAAATTTCCATCAAAGGAAATAACTGTAGCTGTGCCCTGTAGCTGTGCCCTGTAGCTGTGCCCTGTAGCTGTGCCCTGTAGCTGTGCCCTGTAGCTGTGCCCTGTAGCTGTGCCCTGTAGCTGTGCCCTGTAGCTGTGCCCTGTAGCTGTGCCCTGTAGCTGTGCCCTGTAGCTGTGCCCTGTAGCTGTGCCCTGTAGCTGTGCCCTGTAGCTGTGCCCTGTAGCTGTGCCCTGTAGCTGTGCCCTGTAGCTGTGCCCTGTAGCTGTGCCCTGTAGCTGTGCCCTGTAGCTGTGCCCTGTAGCTGTGCCCTGTAGCTGTGCCCTGTAGCTGTGCCCTGTAGCTGTGCCCTGTAGCTGTGCCCTGTAGCTGTGCCCTGTAGCTGTGCCCTGTAGCTGTGCCCTGTAGCTGTGCCCTGTAGCTGTGCCCTGTAGCTGTGCCCTGTAGCTGTGCCCTGTAGCTGTGCCCTGTAGCTGTGCCCTGTAGCTGTGCCCTGTAGCTGTGCCCTGTAGCTGTGCCCTGTAGCTGTGCGACCAAAGCGCTCCTGAGCGGACCCTCTTCTCAATAACTTGTCTTAAATAGCGTTGCACTTATAAATAACCAGAAACGTTTTCTGTATCAGTTTTTCGCAAGAAATTAGAATTTCTTACTTTTAAAATCGTATCTTTTATCTAAAATTACCAAAAATGCAGAAAATACAAGTACGAGAACTCTTGGCGCACCCTGTATAACTATATAATAGTATTTATAATACTCCATCTATACTATATAATAGTATACATAATACTCCAGCAAAAACAAGAAGAGATCAAATTGCTCAAATGCTTTTGCCTAAAAAAATAAGCAAAATTTCATTTCATTTAAACCCACTCAAATCTGAGGAAAGCTGATCAGATCAGATTTTGGCTTATAGTTCAATGCATTTTCGTTTTAAACTAAGCATTTAAACTAAACGAATCAGCTTTTTTCAGTTTTCCGCTCCTCTTTGCCATTGGCAATCTAATTTTGACCTTGAATTTCTTGGCGTACAATCGTTCGATCGAAACTATATTGGTATCAAACAAAAGAAGACGATTTAACGAATTTAATGATGCCAAACCTATTTCAATCGGACAATTGTACGCCAAAAATTCAAGGTCAAAGTTAGATTGCCAATGGCAAAGAGGAGCGGACGGTCTCCATGCTAACTCCGCCCCTTTTTCGGTTCGTTTGCCGTTGGCAATCTACGAATTTTGCTCGTATCTCGATAGAAAATTTCATTGCGAGTCGAATGAAAGGAAATTCAACGTTTTTCAAACAAACCCGGTCAAGGTACGAGTAAAATTCGTAGATTGCCAACGGCAAATGGCAAAAGGGGCGGATTTAACATGCCTATTGTCTGGGAATTCAATTCAGACTTCATCAAATTGAACTAAAAACTATTTTTCGAGGTTTTTAGTTCAATAAAAGGGTTTTTAGACTCGAAAACCCAACTTTTCGTACAAGAAGAATCATTTGGCGACGATTTTCGAAAACGATACCACCAATGAAATAAATCTTTTATGCAATTTGAAATAAAGTAAACATTTTCTCCAAAAAATCCTCACCATGCCCATCTTTGAGTACGAGAATTTTCTCGGCGCTTCGAATCGTCGACAATCGATGAGCAATGATCAAAGTAGTGCGCCCGAAATAAGCCTAAATTTTTTAGAACGCTCACAAGATCTTTATCATCTTTTTTAAAGCTATTATTTAATATTTACATTTTTCTAATGTTGCAATTAGTAACGAAATTTAGACCTTTTCCAAAGCCTCCTGAACAGCCCTCTCATTCTCGTTGTCCAACGCGCTCGTCGCCTCATCCAAAAGAAGGATTCGAGGGTTTCTAAAATAGTAAAGCTAAAAGCAAATTAATGACGACAAAAGTATTATTTGCATTAATCTGAAAATTGAATGAAACGAGTACTTCAAAGTCAAACCTCAACAGCATTCTCGCGATTGCAATCCTTTGCTTTTGACCGCCTGATAGCTGACTTCCCCTGGAGCCAACCCTGGTATCAAGACCCTAAAAACTGATTTGCTAAGACATAATCACATGGTCGCCTCCGTTTTCTTCCTATTTGCGTTGCTATTTTGCAATTATTCGCGTCGCATTTTTCGTCCTTTTTCTCCCTTTCCGAAATTATTTTTTTTTGGTCTGGGGTTTTTGCCTTCTTTCTCAGGGGGAACTTTGTTGTTTCATTTTTGATGCGCATGCTGTTTTTGTAATGAGTATTGTTGCATTTCGGTTCTGTACTAATAAACAGTAACGTTATAAATTCACTTTACTTTATGCTACCCTTCAGGTTTTAAATCCTGTTTAGATAACTGGTTTAACATTGTAGAGAGACTGGTTTTACTAACATTTGTGTCACCATCGACGTAGTATCAATCCGATCTGTACTCTTCTCAAGAGTATTAACCTATTGTTGGATACTACGTGTTCTTGTTACGTTGTAAGCGCTTTTGGGGAAACCCTTTTAACCTTTTGTGCTATTCGGCCATTCTTAAGCAGAATCATCCTCGTTGATAAGGTTAAAGCGGGTCGCACCCCAAGCTACATGTAAAAATTTCTCAGAAGGGAAGATCACAAGGCAGAGGTGGCCAAATGACATTAGCCATATACAGTTTTTCAACACTCGTCAAAGTTTGTTTTAGAGTTGTTTTAAAGTTGATGAAAAACTCTGCGAGGTCATTGTGAAATGAATTACTTGCTTTTATGTATTGTACAAGATGTAATGTTAAATTCTGTTTCATTCACTTTGTTTGTTGCATAGATTGTTGCAATGTTTGTTAATTTTTTTCTGATTTTGTTTGTTATCAATTAAATGATGCCATAACGCTTATTGTAAAGTTAAAGTAGAGCGAATTCGAGCGGTTAAACATCAAAAATAAAATAAAAACAAAAGGATGGGATCGAACCCGAACAAAAGCTTGATAGCTTGTTTCGGAAATAAGACTCTTATCCACTAGACGACAAGCTAATATTCCGAGACGGTTAAAGAAGCCTTATAGAATTATAGGAATTGACTTTTGACCTCTAATTTGAGTCAGACTTGTTTGCTAGATTCAGCCCGTTTCCGAATCATTTTCCAAAAATGAATCAGCTATTCATAATCAGCTATTCAGAATCAACTATTCGGAATCAACTATTCGGAATCAGCTATTCAGAATTAGCTATTCAGAATCAACTATTCGGAATCAGCGTTAAATTCTGCGTCTTATGGTATGGCTGATGTCATTTGGCCACCTCAGCCTTGTTACTTTCCCTTGTTATTTGTTACCTGTGGTAGGTCGCGTACAAATTTTAATGCATTCGCTTGATCGAGTGCTTCTAACATCTCCGCTTCGCTGGCATCTTGTTTGGCGTTGTGAAGGTTCTTAATTGATCGGAGGACTTGTGACAAAATGTTAATAGAAACGTTAAAAAATGATACTTTAGTAGAGTTTATTATCAATTGATTCATTACTACCGTTGAGAGCTTGGAAAACAGGTCTATAAGGTGGGGTTGGGTTCAAGTTTGAGACTCATTTCATTAAAAAAATTCCATGCTTGAGAATTTACCTATTAGTATGCGTAAGCAGCATTTATCTTTAACTTTATGAAAACATTTTGGTTTGAGCTCCTTAGCTTTAGTTTTCAAAGTTTTCAAGCTTTCAAAGCTTTCACTAACTTGTCGAATTGTTGCATCAAAGAGCACGGGTTCTTGTCTCACAATTCCTATCTCTGATCGCAGATATTCCTCTTCAAAATCCCCAATGTCGACATCATCAATTTTTATCTAAATTTGAAAATATCAAGAATTTTTCTTGTATCGCACTTGTCCCTTTTCCGGATCGTAAAATCGCATCAAGAGCCCGAAAATCGTTGATTTCCCGGCTCCGGACCCGCCGACAAGAGCCACTTTCTCACCGGGTTCACAAGTGAAAGACAATTTCTGCAAGTTTCTTTTCTAATTAAAGTGTTAAAACGGACTTTTAAACAAGTAGTCACGTTTTGATGGTTCACAATCTTTTCTAACGATTGTATTATTGTTAACTTGTTAAAGAGCACGATTTAGGTTTTAAAATGATATTAAAATAAAGGTTTATTGGATAAAAAGTCCATGATTTTGTTTTGTGGAGAATATTGGGTTACTCTAGCCGTTTGAAGAGCTTGACACTTTGTCAAAAAGAATGTCGAAAAGAAAAGCAATTAAAGAAAAACACTTGATCAAAAAGAAATCAGAAAATTAATACCAATTAGTACCAATCTTATTCTAAACCATCAGGGTAATTTGGGAAAAATTTTCGCAAGCATAAACACATCATAAGATTGGTAAACTTCGGGTTTTCCCCTAAAAGTCAAACAACAGTGACTGTTCTTTTCTGCGCACGCGTAATCGCTCGTTGTCTGGCAAAATCCCTCTGGTATAAGGTGCTCCACTTTTGGGATCAGCAATAGGGGAAGAAGTGGTTATAGACTAATTTTTACCTCACTTTCCCCGTTTTATGAATTATTATGTCAGTTTTTACCATGTTTTTCTTGAAACTGTTTCATTTCCTCTCAAAACTGTTCTTTTCTGCGCACGCGTAATCGCTCGTTGTCTAGCAAAACCCCTCTGGTATAAGGTGCGCCGCTTTTGGGATCAACAAGAGGGGAAGAAGTGGTTATAGACTGAGCCGTCCCGGGTGTTTTCGGCGTCTTCCCGGGTGTTAAGATTGGTAAACTCAGGGTTTTCCCCTAAAAGTCAAACAACAGTGACTGTTCTTTTCTGCGTGCGCGTAATCGCTCGCCGTCTGGCAAAACCCCTCTGGTATAAGGTGCTCCACTTTTGGGGTCAGCATGAGGGGAAGAAGTAGTTATAGACTGTTCTCGTGTTCTCGATCACACCCAATCACCCGAGAGAAATTTTTTGCGTTAAATCCGTCCATATTCCCTCACAAAATTGGAAGAATTGTACGACTCAGTTTGAGCGTATTCGATTTTCTCAGGATTCGTTGTCTAATCAACCTCTATTTGGTATCATTAAAAATCATGAAGTGTCTGAGTTAAAAATCTATTAACTATAAAGCAAAAGAAGTCGTTTTGTGCGCTTGACGAAAGTAATGCTGCTCTTTGTTTCTTTCTGCGTTCCTTTTCACTATGTTTTCTTTTTCTCTATTGTACATAGGCCCTTTAAACTATGCGTGTTCCCCGAACCTGGGGACTTAAAGAGCCCGAAAGGCCCCGAATGGGTTCCTCCGCCTTCCCAGCGAAAAACGCGAACGAAGTGAGCTGTATAAAAGCTATAAAAGCAATCTAGCTTTCTGCTAGTATAACTATAAAAGACAATTTACTTTTAACACTTCGACATCGGGTCTTCTTGGGTAGGAAAATTTGACGCTATCAAAAGTGATCTTCCCATTCACAAACGGTTTTTGATTCTTTCGAGGCTTCTTGGAATCGATTTCAGCCTTAAAAATATTTTCATCTTTACTCACTTTTCCTAAAATCTAGTGTTAATACTTGTGTAATTTCCTCCAAAATCTGCTTTGAGCCCGCGATTGAGTGAGTGATTTTACCGAAACGTTGAACGAGATCCCCCAAAGCGAACGACAAAGAGTTGATCACGCTGAAGATCTGAAACACTTGCAAGTGATTAGGAAGAACTTTGCAAAAGAGCTGTAGCTGTAACTATAGCTATTTTTCATAGAGTTCATAGATTTCCGACTCTACAACGACATAAAAAAGTGCTCAAATTGAATCCCAAACTACTCACCGTTATCACTTCTTTCGCGTCCACATATCCGAAATAGACAAATTCGGTTGCAATCCAGAAAATAGTAAAATAGACAAAGTTCATTGTTGTGTACAATGTGACCAAGCCAAGACCACTTTGAACTAAAATTTTCATCATCAAGCGCTTGCCTAGCTTTTCCCTTACAAGCGTTCCAAATCTCGTTCTTTGTCGCCTCTTCGAGCGCGCTACGGTATCTAAAGGTAAAGTCTACTAGATATTCAGTTAATATAGTAATACTATTTACTCCAAAAAGCTGATTACTATTGAATTGGTGAATTGAAAACTGCCGGCGATTGTCATATGTGACAGTTTGAGCACTTTCGTCAAAAGAAACCCATTTTGGTGTCAATGGAAAAGTTGTAGAGAATCAAAAATCAAGCTTATATTCAAATTTTCAGAACCATTCAAAAACTGGTTTTCAAGAAATGCCAAATTTACGAATTTTCACAAAACATTTCACAAAACTTGCATTTTAAGCGAAACTACTAAGTGTATCTTTTTGGGAAATTTGGCTATAAGCCTAATTTTTGATTCTCTACAACTTTTCTATTGACACCAAAATGGGTTTCTTTTGAAGAAAGGCTCAAACTGGGACATCTCCAGTCCTCCATTTTTGGGTCTCACACTTGTCTCACACACAAACCAAAATCCTACTACGAAAGAGGAACCCGCAAATTGTCTGTAAAATGGGCAGAAGTCGTCAATAATAATGGAAATTGCTTGGAATGAATTCATGGTTTTATGTTGAACACATTTTAGTTCAAAGTCCGGCAGTTTTCAATTCACCAACCCAATATTTACTCTAAAAAGCTGATTACTATTTACAATGTTTAAAAAATGGGCACCTTTTGATTTCATAACTCTGTCCATTGAAAGCGAGCACTGTTCTGATTTGACGAAGAGCCTGAAATCCCTCAATTTCAATAAGGATACTGTAATTTTTGATCAATAACTATTTGCAGTATGATAGGAATGAAAAAATTCAGCAGAATATGGTTTTCTTCAAGGTTTCAAAACATATTCAGTCACTGAATATTTTAATTTCGGCTTACGGTAAAGAAAATGTGGTACTAGAACTTTACAGCACTTTATAGGTACCGTAAAGCTTCAATATCCAATATCCATACAAGATCTCAACTAGTCGACGTATACAGTATTCCAACTGGCGCAAAAGTGAGGCATAGAAGATTTCAAGCTGATTACTCTACACTTATTGAATGCGCTTATTCGAGCATACAAGTTAGAATTCAGAGAATCAACTTCAAAATTTGCATTATAATCATTTTAAAGCTGTAAATACTAGGCAAAAAAAGTACTCACTTCTTCTACGATACTCCCCGCTTTTGCATATTGTTTTACGATGAAAGAGACATTCCCTGCGGTTTTCTAAACAATTTTTTGAGATTAAATGACTCTTTTCGTTTTTACTTTATTAAACGTGTAGCTTGTGTATGAAATCATTGGGAAGAATAGTAAAAATATCAGCGTCAATTGCCAATTTGTGATCGTTGCGATGAAAAGAGATGACAAGACAACAGTTGAAGTGAAACAGAGCTTATCCAAAGCATTGATACCGTCTTTTATGCGATTTGTTGACCTGTAAAGTTTTGTTTCTTAAACGATATTTTGGAAGTAAACGATATAAAGAAAGAAGTTCATCAAAAAGCTAATAATTTCAAGCCTCCAAGTACGGCTATGCCTATGATCCATTCCATCAACTTATAGTCGGATAAAGGCTACTCGTTTAACTATAAGTTTGTATAAATAAATTATTGAGTTGGCGAATTGAAAACTGCCGGACTTTGAACTAAAATTTATTCAACATAAAACCATCAATTCATTCTGAATAATTTCCATTATTATTAACGACTTCTGCTCATTTTACAGGCAATTTGTGGATTCCTCTTTCGTGATTTTGGATTTGAGGATTTTGGTTTGTGGGTGAGGTTGGCTTGCAATTTCAACCTTCCCATTGGATCTAGGAAGGTCTGGCTTGACTAGACTAAGCTAGCATTTTCTTTTGGTTCTTTTTTGCCAATCCTGCTTGGAAGTACCGTAGTTTACTCTCCAGAACATGTCTAATTTAAGTTCCTGTTTATATTGGGCTGGTGAATTGAAAACTGCGGGACTTTGAACTAAAATTTATTCAACGTAAAACCATGAATTCATTCCAAATAATTTCCATTATTATTGACGACTTCTGCCCATTTTACAGGCAATTTGCGGATTCCTCTTTCGTAGTAGGATTTTGGTTTGTGTGTGAGACAAGTGTGAGACTCAAAAATGGAGGACTGGGCCCAGTTTGAGCCTTTCTTCAAAAGAAACCCATTTTGGTGTCGATGGAAAAGTTGTAGAGAATCAAAAATTAGGCTTATAGCCAAATTTCCAAAAAGATACACTTAGTAGTTTCGCTTAAAATGCAAGTTTTGTAAAAATTCGTAAATTTGGCTTTTCTTGAAAACCAGTTTTTGAATCGTTCTGAAAATCTGGATATAAGCTTCATTTTTTGATTCCCTACAACTTTTCCATTGACACCAAAATGGGTTTCTTTTGAAGAGAGTGCTCAAACTGTCACATACGACAATAGCCGGCAGTTTTCAATTCACTAACCCAACATATCAAAGCTGAATTCAAATTTTAATTTATTTTGAGTAATGAATTTACAAACGATTCCAATTTTGTTTAGTTTCTGTGCCTTTATTGGCTTTGATACCTTTCACTTCAAATTCCTGTGCTTTGATATTTGAAACAGAACAATTTTCTACTAACACAAATAAGAGAAAAGAGAGCAGTGGGAGCATGTTAATCAAGAAAAAACTACCAGAATGTGAAAAGATGGCGTCTTTTTATAGACTGCTGTCTTAAAACATATCGGGACTACGATACTTTTAGCCTATTTTAGCCCGGCTACGTTTTTTATGGTGACTTCCGTCAAAATGGATAAACTTTAACATCTAACTGTTGGAAAGTTATGCTTGTTCAATTCCTATTGAAACTTACTCCAAAAGTGCAGTCGATACGGTACCGGCATCGTTCAAGTCAAACCACGTGATTTCTCTGTGAAGCAAAGCCTAAAACATTGCCACATAAAACTATAGAATGACTCGAACAGAACAGCGCTTTGATCTTTCCAGAAAGACTTTCCAGAAAATCTTTTCATTTCTTTTCATCCTTCCGTTGAAAAATAACAAATTCACCAATTAATCTATGGTTTTCTTTCAAGAAAAAGCGTTTTTGGTTCAATTTCCCATCTTTTTAAGTCAATTTGGGTTCACTTTCAATCAATTTCGAGCGTGAAAACGTGTTTTTCGTTCTATAATACGAAAGAAATTGGCTGAATCAATTTTGCTCTACGAAGAAATTGGCTGAATCAATTTCGCTGAAAATTTAGCTATATACCAAACTTTTTGTGCTCTATCTATTGAAGTCTATTTTATCTATCTATTCATGGCTTAAAAACTGTATTTTTATTTCATTTGATCAGCTGACCGGTACGGTATTAGGCTTTCCAGAAAATCTTTTCATTTCTTTTCATACTTCCGTTGAAAAATAACAAATTCACCAATTAATCTATGGTTTTCTTTCAAGAAAAAGCGTTTTTGGTTCAATTTCCCATCTTTTTAAGTCAATTTCGGTTCACTTTCAAGCAAATTCGAGCGTGAAAACGAGTTTTTTCATCTATAAAAAGCCCCAGAAGAGATTGGCTGAATCAATTTCGCTGAGAATTTAGCTATTTACCGAAGTTTTTGTGCTGTATCTCTTGACATCTCTTTTAACTATTTATTTATTATATCTCTATCTTTTATCTATTGATGCAAAGCTAGATTTCCTTACTAAAGTATCTAAGTCGTCTCATCGAGCCGCGTTTTTGACTATTCGACTTCACGCTGGATAAGCTAGTTGAATTTCCAGACTAACTAGTGAAAACCGTGTTTTTCGTAAAAAATCTGTAAAACCTCTAAGACGAAATTGGTTGAATCAATTTCTCTGAAAATTTGGCTATATACCAAACTTTTTGTGCTCTTTCTATTGAAATCTATTTCTTTATGATATCTCTGTCTTTTATTTATTGACACCAAGATAGATTTCTTTAGCTAAAGTATCTAAATCGTCTCATCGAGCCACATTTTTAACTACCCGACTTCACGCTCCCAAAAAAATGCAGACATAAGACATTTAAAAACCGTTTTAATGTGCTTTTACAGAAAAATAATTGCCTTTTCTAATGAAACAAATCGTAGTTCAATTGGTGGATTTGTTGGTTTTAAATGGAAGTACGAAAAGAAGCGAAAAGACTTTCTGGACAGCCTAAGACATCTATCAGTTCTAAATTCGAGGATGAAATTTGCTTCATTCATAAACTATACAAACCATTTTATAAAAAAAAGAAAACAAGGACAATTTGAGAAGCCTAGGAACCTGTCTAATTCATCAATCTAATAACATCAAAACATAATATTGCTGCTGAATTGAAACAAATTTGATAACATAAGAAAAAGTAATTGATAAAAAGTTACCGAGCTCCATACAAAGGCTTTCTTGCTAAATCTAGTGTCAAATCTGATCTCACCTCAAAATATTTCGCTCTGATCCCGAAACGAATTCTCTCGGAAACAATCTCACACATCATCACCTAAATTTCAGCAACTCTTCAGCAACTTTTGCAGCTTTCCCCAGCTTACTGATAAGAATTGCAAGAAAAACCATGAGCCAGCGATAAGGAGGAATTGAAAAGCAAAAGTTTGCACTTTTCTCGAGAATTCTTCGCGAGCATCATCAATAAAAGTAAGCGTCGCGTTCGGTGAAACTAAAATCTCTAAAATCTTTCCAATCTTTACATTACATTTTCTATTTTATTACCCATTTAGAAAGCTTTAAAAACCTTGTATTTTTCATTGAAATGTGATTTTATTTTTATGAAATAAAAATGAAAATTTTAAAGTCTTGCAAAGCCAATTTAAAAAAATAGGCAAGTCTTGGATTTAAAACATCAGTTAAATGTTTCAATTTTGATTCAAAATTAGCCAAGCACGTTTGCCATGTGTACTTGGATGGAAATCCTCTTTTTAGTGCTTAAAAACCTAAAAAGTACAATGGAAAACATCTCTTTTTATCAATTTTAGCAAAGAAAAGCAAAAATAAGTGCACCAGAAAAGGTGTGTTTGCTAATTTTGCGCACAAATTACAGACACAGCAAGGAATAAGCGGTTAGCTTCGTCATAAATATCAGAAAATAAGTTCAAGCTTAAAGATACTCTTACGCTACGAGTTTTGGCTCATTACAGTAACCCAGATAAAAAATCAAGACACAGACTGTCCATATTTAATTTGAGGCTAAAGATGTTCATATTTCAGGCATTTTAGCTGAAGTTAATATATTGGCATATATTGTAGTGATTAGAGATAAGTCTACCATTGTCTCATAACAATCATAAACCAAAAAAAGTAAAAATTTTGTGGCGAGAGAGTAGTCTGAATTGTGTTCTTTGATGACGATCGCACTCAGAGATCGGTGCTAGTCGATCCCGAGTCCCAATCCCCGAGGGGAGACTTTTCTTCTTCGGGATCACGATCATTCAATCGTTCCCCATCTCGAGGACATTTGCAGACCTTCCTCAGACCTTCCCGGGGTGTTGAAAAGATCATAAAGATCTGCGAGTCAACCCCAAAGTCATCTTCCCACCACAGCAAGTCCTCCTCCAAAACGCCCTTTTTTGTAACCCCCTCTTCGAGCGTGTGCCAGAAAGCACGTGTTTATGGGAGCGCACAAAGAAACGGCTCGGCCGGCCGGAGGAAACAATCTTGCCACTTTTTATCAACCCCTCCTTGGACGTGTGCCAGAAAGCACGTGTTTATGGGAACGTACAAAGAACAAGTTGGAAATGTTTGACTGAAAGACTGTTTGCCCCTTTTTATAGGCCCCTCTTCGAGCGTGTGCCGGAAAGCACGTGTTTATGGCAGCACACAAAGAACGGGTTGAAACAATATTCCTAACGATAATGTTATGACTTTAAACCCAATTTAACTGCAATTCAATTCAAAAAAGAAAAAGAAATTTATGCATTAGATTTTGCTAAATTTTCAATTTAACCAAGTTTTCGTCACTTTTACACCGATCATTGAATGATTTAGTCAAAAATGGAAAAATGAATTTGCCCGAGATTAATTGAGATCTTATCTCAAAACAAAAAATTTACAATATTCAACTACCGTAAATACTGTAATAGTACCCCAGCCCCCCTCGTACAGTCGCGTAGTCGCAAAAGTTTTTTAGTATTTCATTTTTTTTGCAAAGCGCCCGTACTTTCAAAGAAAGCGTCTTTGGTATCAAGAAATAGCCCTAAATTTCAGCTATTTTTGATACCTAAGCGCGCATTTTAGCATAAACCAGTGTCGAGAAAAATCATCACAATCACCACGAAGCCAAATCAAGAGCAAAAGCAATGAATTGAGGTCAAGATAGGCTTTCGATAGTCAATGAAGAATGAAGTCAATAAGGAAATGAAGAATTCAATGAAGTAAAAAAAATGACAAGTAAAGACTTAAGTCTTTACTAAAGATCTTAACTTAAAGATGAAGGCCTTTGCTAATTTTTTTTTATTATTTTTGTTAGCAGAATCGTTTTCTCTTGTGAGCTTGACTTTCTAACGTGCAAAAGAAAATATAAGCTTCAAAAAGCACAAATAACAAGTAAAAGAATAAACAAAGGCAAGTATGCCAGAAAGCACGTAAAAGCTGCATCTTAAAATGTTTTTTGAACTCACGTTTTGCCGAGTCGAGTTTCGAGTCAAGTTGAAGGTAGGCGACGGTGGTTTGACTAAAATCTTGCCTTCAAATAGAACAAAGTTTTTGATTAGCTAATAGATTTTACCGTTTATAAATGCGAGAATATGGAAATTGCTTCATTTTCACTATTTTAGGTGAAACTTTAAATTTTAAAAGGCAAGTTTTAGCGTCACTTCTTGTAGTATATCCGTTATCCGTTATAAATCCGACCTAAGGGATTTTTGATAAACAATCGACTTGATGCCAAAATAAAAGATGTGTAAAATATATGGCTTTATGTCGTAAAACAGATTTCAGCTCATTTGATTTGGTGGAAAATTTTTTATGAGGGCCTAAAGTTAAGGTCCAAAAATGCCTTAAAATGGGTATAAAAATTTTTCCACTGAACCAAAAAAGTGTAGAATGGCTTGTTTTAAAGAAAATTCTATGTAGATTCTTATATTAAAGCTACATCTAACATTTATTGGTTGAAAGAGGAAGAAAAATTGCGCGGACTGACCTCAGTCCTTGACTCTACGTTAAGGGATCCCCCTGAAACCATTTATCCCAATTAATGGCAGATGTAGCTTCATTTTAAGAATCTACATAAAATTTGCAACAAAATGAGCCATTACGAAACTTTTTTTGGTTCAGTGTTATATTTTTATACTCATTTTAAGGCATTTTTGGACCTTAACTTTAGGCCCACATAAAAAATTTTCCACCAAACCAAATGAGCTGAAATTTGTTTTACGACATAAAGCCATGTATTTTACACATCTTTTATTTTGACATCGAAGGTCGAATTCGGACACCAGGTCGGATTTGGACACCAGGTCGGATCGGATGCCAAGTCGGATTCGGACACCAGGTCGAATTCGGACACCAGGTCGGATTTGGACACCAGGTCGGATCGGATGCCAAGTCGGATTTGGACGACAGGTCGGATTTGGACACCAGGTCGGATTTGGAGACCAGGTCGGATCGGATGCCAGGTCGGATTTGGACGTCAGGTCGGATTCGGAAGCCAGGTCGGATTCGGAAGCCAGGTCGGATTTGGACGACAGATCGGATTTGGACACCAGATCGGATTCGGACGCCAGATCGGATTCGGACGCCAGGTCGGATTTGGACGCCAGGTAGGATTTGGACGCCAGGTAGGATTTGGACGCCAGGTCGGATTCGGACGCCAGGTCGGATTCGGACGCCAGGTCAGATTCGAACGCCAGGTCGGATTCGAACGCCAGGTCGGATTCGAACGCCAGGTCGGATTTGGACGCCAGGTCGGATTTGGACTACAGGCCGGATTTGATTGATTGTTTGTTATTGTTATCGTTTGATTTGATTTGATTGTTACTTCGTTTATCGATAAGAAAGCAATTTTTTTGTGTATAAAATTCAAACATTTAACACTTTAAGGGAAAAATAAGTAAAATATCAAATTAAACGGATTCAAATTTTTCTTTTAAAACCCACGCAGTGACAGTCATGTTGAGCACCTTGCAAAGGCCCGTAAGTGACGAGCAAAGAACGGTCAAAAAAAGCAAAAAGACTTCCCATTTCGACGCTAGTTTATACTAAAAACAAGCAAATTGTCAAAAACATGATAAAACTTTTATATTTTTAAATTTGTTCAAGAATAAGATCTTAAGAAACTTAAGCTTAAGCTTAAGAAAGCTTAAGAAAGTCTAAAATCGACCAATATAAGCGTTTTTAAAAGCATTTATCAATTTGTATTTGATTTCTATAATCTTTTTGGTTAATCTTAAACTTTAGAATCTTACCAGTTGATATAAACTCATAACAACCAAAGAAATAAAGCGTTTCTATGAATAGCCACCCAAAAAAAAACGAGCAAAAATAAATTAAATAAGCGTAGACTTTCGAAAAGGGGAAATCGACTAGAGAGCCGTCAGTCAATAGAAAAGAAAAAAGGGTGGAAAAGGATAAGAAATGAAAAGAGATTCAGAGAAAAGAAGTAGCTGAAAAAGAACATTTCCAGATAAAGAAGTAATCTCTGAACAAAGAAATAAGAATTGGTGTTGATGTGTTTCAATTGGAAATTTTAGCGTCACTTCCTGAACGATATTTTTATCGAACAGTGTATATAGAATCGAAATTTGATTTTTATTTTCCTCGACATTGTGCAGAACATTAACCCCAAGTACAAGGATGGCGTCCAGAAAAGCAGGAATCAATTGAAAGAGATCATCAAAGCGTTGATTTTACTAGCTAGTCACGAGCGCGCATTTCGAGACCATTTTAATCAAAAGACCTAGCAGCATTTTTGGAGAAAGATGTTGTCGAGAAAGAGGGTGGATTTCGCGGAGTTTTACGGCTTTTATATCAAAGTGGCGATGAAGATATCAAACGGCTGGTTGATGCTCCTAGAAATGCAACATATGCAACATATACAGAAATTCAAAACGAGCTTTTTGGTTGTATTGCAGAAACACTGATTGATCATCAACTAAAGAAGATTCGAGCGGCTCCCATGTTTGCCTTGATGTTTGCCAGATGAAACATCAGAACATCATGTGGACTTTTTGACAATTTTCTTGCGAATCTACAATACAGAGGCAAAAGTTATTGAAGAAATTTTTGTTGGTTTCACGGAAATTGAATCGTTATCTGGAGATTCTATAGCTACAGTCAGGTGCAAAAGTCTTTTAACACTCAATTTTCTAAAAAGTTACATCGATTTTCTCTGATAAAGTTCATGGCGCTCTCTAAGCTATTAATAGTTTTAGTTACACAAATATATGTACAATTTATTTACACAAACGCTGTCGCCATACAAAACTTATTCATTGAGAAAAAATATAATTGTCAAAACACCCCCTGAAAATCGTGGTGCAAAAGTCTTTTAACACAAGACGAAATTAAGCTATAACCAATATTTTGTTGGCCCTTCTTTTGCCAAAGGTACTTCTTTAACACGAGTAGGCATCGATTTAATTATTTCACCAAGAATTTCACGCAATTTCGATTTCAAATAGGCCCATAAATTCTCGATAACATTTAAATCCGGTGAGAATCAAAGAATCAAAGAAACGTGATTGATCCCAAAGCATCCCGGTAAATGTGCTTTTCCTCCATTCGAGAGAGTCACAACGCGGCCCATCAAAAGTTTGCTTTTATGTACTGGCAAATTATCTTGATAAAGAAACCGTCCTGGATTCATCGAAGCAGTCGCAAATGGAAGTAGGCATCTGTCCAATATCTCAATATATTGGCGGGAATCCATTGTCGACTTTACGAGGACAAGCGGACCTGTTGAACTTTTACACATCGCACCTAAAGAAATCACGAAACGCATTACATTTTGTCGTCGACCGGGGGCGGGGGAAGTTTTTGACCATTTTGTATTTTAGGTAATTTTTTGTTAATAACTTTTGATGAAACAAATAGTTTCTGAAATTAGACGTTCTAAGCTATCTGGATCTTATTAAAACAACTTGATCTGACGAGTTTAAGGTGCTTAAAAATGAGCTGCAAGATAGTCAAAAACCCACCCCGCCCCCTATAACCGTAAAGATCCCAAAAAAGGATCCTTTAATCCTGCACATTGCAAAAATCCTGGCAGCGAACTGACAAGGGATGGATCATTAGGTCCCGTGGCCTTTTCCGATCCTTTCAGCAGCCAGCTTGATGTGCAACATAATCGTGCAACACAATATTCTAGGGTGAACCTCTCTATCACTTTCGGAGCAGAGGCCTTTTTTGGAGGCATAGCTCAAAAACTAGGAGACCTCTTGTAAAATGATTATAAGTTTCAGAAACTACAGAAAATTTGCTATATTTTTGGATATAAGTTCAATAGGTTTTGATAAACCCGGCATCATCTACGAGTCAAAAACCTCGCGCCAAATTTCGTCGGCCACCCTGTAGACATTGACAAGCAATAGGAGCAAGAAGAGACAAAAAGATATTCAGTTGGGTTTACTGGATATCGAAAATAAGAGAATTTAACACAAAAAGGGCGCAGAACGGTTTTACCAAACTGTTTTCCCAAATTTCTTTTTCTCCACTGAAATCGAACACTTTCAACTTCTTTTGATGAAGAAAAAATGATCGAAAAACCAATTTATAAACAGGCACACCGCTTGGAATTGCACATAGCACATAGCAAATCGAAACTACTTCTGAATGGACAATATTTTGCTTTTGATTCTTGTTTTTATTGGAGCTGTTCTAGCGAATCCATTGCCTATTGCCTGCGCTGATTGTGAGGTATAAGAAATTCTCCGTTTCGATATCTTTCAGTATTTACATTTACTAATATGTTTATACTTCAATACATTTTAAAATATATAGCTTTTTTGACTAAATCTTAGGCCGATTTGAAACGAATGTCAGAGAATTTGAATCTCAACAATGCCACCTGGAATGAGGGAATCATCTATGTAAAGAAAGTGTGTGACGAGCATCGGGTAATTTTATTCAGCATCGATTTTTCCCGGCAATGTGTAAAGTATCTAATATCGATTTTTCCCGTTAGCTTCTTTAAAAATAATACTACAACACGATAAACTATTAGGTTGTTCGGATCTAAACAAGCGTTACTAAACTTATTGTTGCGAGGGAAGCTTATTCAGCAGCTTATTGTCTGCGAGGGAAGCTTATTGTCTTTCTGTATTTAAAAGTACGTTATCTTGTGTATATTTGGAATCTTTTTAAACGGATAATTTCTTATTTTTAAGATCTTTTTTCTTGCTTTAGATGATCGACTTCAAATATTGGATTGTCCAGTTATGAATGCGCGTTTTTATTATTTTGCAAATTTCTCAAGATATCGAACAGATTTATATGAGTGTTATATATCATTCGAAAGCTGAAGATCTCCTCTACATTTTGATATAAAAAGCTTTGGAGTTTGTTTAGCTTTTGGGCAAATTGATTGCACAAAGGGAGAGGTCGTTTTCGAAAAAACCCATTCCAGCTTAGCTATTCCTCAAGTTTTATGGTGTAAAATAACCGTCCAGAAAAGAAAAGATGCTCTGAAATTGTTATATTTAAAAAAAAACTTGTATTAATATATCTATTGGCCAAATATCAAACGGTTAACTCAATTTGAGCGGAGCCAAAACTTGATCCAAAGGCATCCTTCCATTTTTTTTGCCACCTCTTCTTCTGTGCAGTCAATTTGCCCAAAAGCTCGACAAATTCAAAAACTTTTTATATCAAAATGTAGAAGAGATCTTCAGCTTTCGAATAATACTCATAGATATCTTTTTCTTGATTTCGGTATCTTGAGAAATTTACAGAATAGTAAAAAACGCGCATTCATAACTGGACAACCCAATATATAAAGTCCGCGTCTGTCTACTTTACGACTTCAAACTAGACAAAACAGCCGCAGAATCCCATCGAGATTTGGTCAAAGCATTTGGGAATGATGTATTGTTCGAAAGCCGATGCCACGCCTGGTTCTAACGCTTTCGGAATGGTGATGAAAGTCTCGAGGATGATGAACACTCTCGTCGATCTCAAGCGGTAGACAACGATACTTTGAGGGCTGCAATCGGATCGGATCCATGTCAAACGACGCGTGAACTTGCTCAACAGTTTCTTTGTTCAAATTCTACCATTGATGAGCATCTCCACACCATTGGAAAGATGATCAGATGTGGGAAATGGCTTCCTCACGAGTTAAGCAGTGCAAAAAAGGCTTCACGGGTCGCTATTGCCGGAATCCTCATCCGCCACGCTAAATATCATGGCTTTTTGATTCTCTCGTTACTGGAGATGAGAAATGGATCCATTTTGACAATGGTAATTGATGAGCATCTCCACGCCATTGGAAAGACGATCAGACCCGGGAAATGACTTCCTCACGAGTTAAGCAGTGCAAACGCTCGTTTATATCCGAACAATCTAATAGAACACTCAACAGTTGATGATTTAAAATATAATTGTTTTTGAATCGTTTTCAATTCAGCTTTGCACTCTCGACTGTGATGAGGCCAAGAAAAAATTCAAGCCAATTTTTGAGGAGATCAAAAAGGCGAACAAAGAAGGCAACAATGAGGCACAAATTTGTCGAAAAACTTTAAATTGTATTGAATAAAAATTGCGAAAGAACTTGAGCTTTAAAATCAGCCATCGACATCTTTTAAGTATGTAGAGGAAAAATTTTCGTTTTTTCGCAAAAACACTGTGAATAAGCTGACAAATACCATTTTGTGGCTTTAACACGACGTTTAAATGCTTAAACACTGGTAAACTTGATTCAAACACATTCAAAATTCAATTTATAAGCCATCCATCGCTGTCCTTGAAAGAAGCGTCCCCAAAATTCTTGGCGAAAACGCGTGCTTTTTCCTTAATAGTTGGTCCGTCGTCTGCAAATCCTGTACTTCGAACTTCTCGAATCCATTGGGAGAGTGTTCCCTCAATTGCGTCGTTGTCGCCATCGCGTAGTAGTTTTCTCCCTTTGGAAGCTCCCACTCAAATTTTTCCAAACTCGTCGCCTTGTTGCGCAAGATCGATTGAATTGTTCGGTAGCCATATCCAAAATCGTCGCACCTAAAAAGAAAAGGTTATTAGAATCAATCAGAAACAAAAAAAGAAAAGCAACACAAGACTTTGCGAGAACTCAACTTTTCAAAACTGTTTTTAATGACTAGAAAATTTGAATAGCAGCTGATTGTAAGTAGCAGTGTAAGCATATACCGTATTCTCTCTAATAGTAGTGCGGTCCGAGAGAGGGTTGAAAAAATAGTAGTGCGCACTAGACTTCGGAAAACAAAACTTAACCAAACCAAAACTACCAAAACCAAAACCATAACAAAACCAAAACCAAAACAAACCAAAACCAAAACCAAAACCAAAACTAACCAAAACTCGCCAATATCTCGCGACTGGGAGGAGCTAGCGAAAATCTGTTTGCAGATTTGAAATCAGCATCCAAAAATCTATCCCATAGGCTATTTTCTGTTTCGAAATTTCGAGGTCGTGTTTTGGTCCTTTTTTCGGCCGCGAGATTTTGTGGAGTGAGAAAAAGCGAAAGGCAAATTTGCATTTTACAATTTTAAATTTACATGTTAATTTATATGCAAATTGAGTTTTGCTTTGTTTTGGTTTTGGTTTGTTTTGGTGTTTTGGTGTTTTGGTTTTGGTTTTGGTCTGTTTTGGTTTTGGTTTTGTTTGCCGAACTCTAGTGCGCACTACTCCTAGAGAGAATACGGTAAGCAGTTGTAAGCTTTTATAGTAAAATATGCGAACTTTGGCAAAGAAAAGCAACACTATGGGATTTACTTACTAAAAAACTGTTAATAATATGTAATGAAATGGATTTGGATGAATGAATTTGCTGTTGAATGTTCTTTTTCGCCTACGGTTTCAATCGTTTGGCTGAATATTTTGCTTGGATAGTAAATAAAGTGTAAATTTTGCAGCTGCAAATGCAAAATTTTGCTTAAAGATTAATGATTCACGATCAAGCGTTAAATACACGTGTTTACCATTGGAGGGATTCTCCAAAAGTGATTTACTATCGAGCATGATTTACTATCAAGTGATTTACTATCAAGTGATTTACTAGCGAGTGATTTACTATCGAGCGTCGACTGTAGTTTGATATTGTCATTGTCCCAATTTATTGCCATAAAATAGACATTCGGACACATTTGTTGCAAACTAAACTGCTTTTGGTGTTGCTTTTTTTATTAATAAACAGATCATGAACTCATTTGATACTAGAATAGATGAAAATGAATAAAATTTGCTTATTATTTCACGATTTTCTTTTTTCTTAATGAACAATCATTAGTTTCGGTAGTACTCCTCCTTTGAGTTTTATTCATTTTTTTAAATAACAATTTTGTTTTGCATTTTGAAATTGAAATTATAATAGGAATTATCGTTAATATATTCTTAAAATTTCCTCTGATGCTTATTTCTTTCTCTTCCCTATTTTCTGTCTGTCATTTTATCTGTTTGGTTTTTTTTCCAAGTTTTGCTGTATCTCTTGTACTCAACCCGCTTTTATACATATCTTCTGAATAAAAAATATTATTTGGTTGTCCGGAATGAAAATACCCTTTTAATGAAAAACAAATTTATCTCCACAAAAAGAAAACGATGCACTTTATTCTTAAAGATAATAGTCTTTCTCCATTTTTCTTTCAAATCTCGGATCCCTTTGCTGAAGAAATCCTCAGGCTGCATGTCGAAGTATTGGCCTACCAAAATTCGGACTTCGTCGTGATCCTTGAAGTGTTTATCGGCCAGGAAGTGCTGCATAGATCGAAATAAGGTATGGTACTCTGGACTATACGGCGGATGCGGGAGACATTCCCAACCCAATTCCTCTAGTTTTTCCTGCGTCTTCTTTGCTGTGTGTGGGCGCACGTTATCTTGCAGATATCTCACAGTCGATGTGTTTACACCTTGATTCTTGAGAGCCTGGTCTACTTGTTCCAGCTGTTGCACATATAGATCTGAGGTGACTGTTGGACGAGAAGGTTGCACCTCAAAGTGTGTAAGACCACGGGAATTCCACCAAACAGATAACATAGCCTTTCTTCCATGCGGATCACGTCGTGGCGTCGTTTTTGGCTGTTCTCCTGGACTTTACCACTGCCGTTTTTGCGATGGGTTATCGTAGTAAATCCATTTTTCATCGACCGTCACAATAGTTTCCCAAAAAGCTCGATTTTTTGATTGACGAAGAAGAATACCGGCCATAGTCACTCGAGTAGCTTTATTAGCCTCACTAAGTTGATCGGGTACCCATTTTCCGACGATTTTCGCTTTACCCAAACGATGGAAATGGCCCGCAATTGTTGTGTGGTCTACAGCAAACATTGTTGAAAGTTCGACAGTCGACAAGGTTAGATCATCTTCTATGGCTTCTCGAAGATCGTCATCGTTGGGCGCTGAAGGGGGTGACCACGTTCTCGATCCTGTAGAGTTTCGTCTCCCTCTCTAAATCGTTGAAACCATTTTTAACAAACTTCTTCTGAATAAGCAGCTTCTCCGAAAACTTTAAAGATTGAACTATGGCTCTCCCGGACACTTTATCCTTGTTTGAAGTCGTAGAGCAAGCACACCCGAATTCGGTACTTCTGATCTCCCATTCTAAAAAAAGCCAAAATTATAAGGCAGTAAATTTTTATAAAAACACAGAATTAGAAAAGATACATAACTTTAAAACAAAACAAAAATTAGACGCGAAGCTGTTCGCTCCACCGAAAAAATTTCAATCGAAATTGAGGGTATTTTCATTCTGGACACCCTAATATAATAAAGCAATTTTATAGCTTTAATAAGTTAATAGAGCTTTTGTTTTTTATCAGTGGAATGAACCCAAGACTTTGCTTCCCTGGTTAAAAGATTTTAACAGATCAAGAAAAAGATAACTTTTGAGCAAACACTCAACGAGAAGACCCTCAAAATCCCAGTCGTTTGACGCAAGCTTTTCAATGATTTGGCGGCCAAATAGCATAGAAACATCACAAATAATTATTTTTATCATTGCATATAACACAAAACTTTGTTGAGAGTACAATAAAATATCAAAAATAAGTGCGCTGAGGTAAATGGCTGATACTAAACAAAGCCAGATCTTTTCAGTAAAACATTGGGCCCATCGATGAGATTTTTTTGTTTGATACTTTTCTGGTGGCAAAGATCGAGAGGCGATTTCGAGTTGTCCACAACTTTCCACCTAAAAACTTTCTTAGATTTTTGAACAAAATGGGGAAACCTGATCGAAAAGATCGTAGTCGATTTCCCATTTATTTTTCTTTTCGTTCATTCGAACCATTGGAGAGAAACTGAAAAAAAATCTGTTTTCTTTACATTTTTCACAAATTTCAAATAGCTAAAACGAATATTTTGTCAAGCTTTTGCTAATAATGTGAATACGGAAGCCCTTTCAGTCTAATAAATGTAAACTATTGGGTTGGTGAATTGAAAACTGCCGGCTATTGTCATATGTGACAGTTTGAGCACTTTCTTCAAAAGAAACCCATTTTGGTATCAATGGAAAAGTTGTAGAGAATCAAACATTAAGCTTATATCCAAATTTTCAGAACGATTCAAAAACTGGTTTTCAAGAAATGCCAAATTTACGAATTTTCACAAAACTTGTATTTTAAGCGAAACTACTAAGTGTATCTTTTTGGAAATTTGGCTATAAGCCTAATTTTTGATTCTCTACAACTTTTCTATTGACACCAAAATGGGTTTCTTTTGAAGAAAGGGTTCAAACTGGGACATCCCCAGTCCTCTATTTTTGAGTCTCACACTTGTCTCACACACAAACCAAAATCCTACTACGAAAGAGGAATCCGCAAATTGCCTGTAAAATCGGCAGAAGTCGTCAATAATAATGGAAATTATTTGGAATGAATTTATGGTTCTATGTTGAATAAATTTTAGTTCAAAGTTCAATTCACCAACCCAATAGCTTGCAGCTCACGATAAAAGCTGACTGAAAAACTGAAAAGATGTCCTACCACTTCATACTCTGTAGAAATAAGCAATGGAATTACATGTTTGCTGTATTTTTGATGGAAAGTGGTATAATTATTCATTCAATCAATCTAGCGATCACACATATGAAAGTGAAAGAGATTTAGAAACGAAAAGCTTATAAGCTAGAGATTATCGCTTGTAGAAAGAACAGAAATCTTTCCTAAAGTTTCTGCACACACGCTAATCTATTTCCTAATAGATTAGAGAGCCTAACCAAGGCCAAGCCTAACCCAGGCCAAAGCCAGTTTGTCAAAGTTCCCCATGTTCACAAAAACTCACTTGTATCCCCAATCGATCTCATCAGCGACAAAAGAAGTCCTGGCCTGGAAAGTCATTCCTGTGGCCTCCACACCCGAATCTAATGTCAGAATCAGCTCGAAGTCATTCGTCTGCCAAAAAGTTTTGCTTAACAGGAAAAGCAAAAATACTTGTAAACTTTTCTCATCGAGTCCATATAAGGGACTTTTTTCGTCAACAATGTGCCGAATGGTGATTGGCCAGAGGAGAAGCACTCGATCCCATCCATGATCATAGCCGACATCCATATCTCGGAGACCGATCAACACGCGGCATCCGTTCTGC